GGAGTGGTGTGCCTGGAGGTTTGCCATGGCAGACTCTGATCGATTTACAGAAATCAAGAACTGCACTGTGAGAGTCCTTTAAGCGCAAAACACTTGAGGCAGTGCAGGAGACCATCAGCAAATGCGGGAGGGCAAGGCAGAATCTCATCTCAGTGGAGACATTGGAGGTCACAGATGCATGTCACATTGCTTGACTGAATGGCAATCAGGATTTACACTGTTTCTTGGTGCACAGGGCTTGTACACTGCTGAGAAGGGACAAGGAACAGTTCATCAGAAATCTTGCTGAAGAGATTGATCTTTTCTTGGTAGGCAAGGCGAAGATCCTTCACTAAGTCCTGAGAACGCTAAACTCCAAATCCTCCTTGCAGATGAGTGCAATCCACTCAGTGAATGGATACATCGTTTCAGATTATGTTAAAGTTCATAAATGTTGGGCTGAGTATTTTGAACAACTGCACCAGGTAGACCCTCCAGTCGTTATTCTGGATGCAAGTGGTGTCACAATACCTGTGCCGGATCCACTCATCCATGAGGAACCTCCTACGCTAATTGAGATTAGGGAGGCGATCTCTAAGCCGAAGGCTGGAAAAGCTGCAAATGTGATATCCCTGCTGAACTGCTAAAGGCTGGGGGTGAACCTATGGCACAGGGCTTGCATACAGTCTTGACTGCCATCTGACAGTCTGGTTCCATATCCCCTGACTTGTTGAGGCGCGTGGTTATTCCTCTCTGGAAGGGGAAAAAGGATCGTTGGGACTGTAGCAACTACCGTGGTATTACAATGCTTAGTATACCAGGCCTTCACCCAAATTCTTATGAAACGGATCCATAATCGTTTCCTAAGGCGCTGGAGACCAGAGCAGTTTAGATTTACTCCTGGCAAGTCCATAATCGACTGTATCCTAACACTGAGCTATTGCGGTTGTGAGCTTCTTGTAGCCTATATCAAGCTCAAGGTATTTGACTCGATGCACAGTGAATCGTTATGGGAGATCCTTGATCACTGGTTTAATAGCAAACCTATATACTGGTACAGAAAGTGATGTCAAGCTTTTTCCCTGTAACTCAGGGGTGAGGCAAGGTTGTGCACAGACTGGATAATGGGCAATGCTACTATCCAAAGTCATTGTGGAGCAACACTGAGCAATATCAAGGTCACCGACCTCGACTTTGCCGACGATGCTGCTATCCCGTCTGGAATCACGGGCGGCGGGTCTTGATGCAATTAGCAAAGAGGACTAAGACCAAGATCCAGGATTTAGGGTGTCTGTTAGGGAACCCATTCAGTTGATACATGCTTAAGGTGAGGACGTTGAACTCACTGAGAGCATTACATACCTTGGTAGCGCAGTCCATGTTTCTGGGCTGTTAGATCAGGAAGTCAATAGACGGAGCTATGAACTAAGCTATGTGTCTTCACGGTCTTGATATTGTCAGTCTTGCTGCCTTTTGAAACAAATCCCTAAACCAGACCATGTGTCCAACCGACATGTGACCTGTTACTTGCATAATCCAGGATCGCCAACTCATGCTATATGGACACCTAGCTCGCTCTCCTGTGGATGACGCAGCATGTTGTCATTTTACGAGACAGTCCTATCTGGAGGAGGCCCACGGGACGACCTAGGAGGTCATGGCTCGGCGCTCGACGAGACCTGTTGCAAGGAGCAACAGGTCTCTCTCTCTCTCTCTCTCTCTCTCTCTCTCTCTCTCTCTCTCTCTCTCTCTCTCTATATATATATATATATATATATATATATATATATATATAGAGAGAGAGAGAGAGAGAGAGAGAGAGAGAGAGAGAGAGATTCCAGTTGATGTTAACCTAAGCCATTTAGTAGCAAAATGAAACAGACATCTATTCGCATCAAGAATAATCGTTGTAAAAAAGGAATACAACTAAATTATTTATTGACTGATTATTTATCTATTATCTATATAAACATAAATGTGTGTGTGTGTGTATGTGAGTGTGTGTGTATATATATGTATATATATATATATATATATATATATATATATATATATATATATATATATATATGTATATATATATCTGTATATCTATATATTTATATATATATGTATTCATACACACACACATATAGATATATGTATATATATGTATATATATATATATATATATATATATATATATATATATATATATATATACACACACACATATGCATATATATATATATATATATATATATATATATATATATATATATATATATATATATATATATATATATATATATATATATATATGTATGTATATACATATATATATGCATATATCTATATGTGTATGTGTATGTATACATATATATAAATATATAGCTATACAGATATATATAGATACATATATATATATATATATATATATATATATATATATATATATATATATATATATATATATATATATATGTATCTATATATATCTGTATAGCTATATATTTATATATATGTATACATACACATACAC